TAAAGACAAAGTAACTCCAAAAAAAAATTTGTCATGATTTATTTACCCTCATGATGATCCAAACTAGGGCTGCCCTTGACTAAGAATTTTTCTGGTCGGCTAGTAGTCATTCATTTTAAGCATTAGTCGACTGATCGCACGGTTATTAATAAAACATTTAAATCATTATAATGAGCCTATAATTGCCTACATAGCCTAATAAGCACTCAAGCACACGCATAAAGCTTGCCACAGCACACCGGCAGAAATAATTATTATGAATGTGTCAGGGAAAAACAGTAATGAGGCTGCATTAACATTTTAATAATTCACTGATAAACAAGTGTTTTCTTTGTTTCCGGTTTAAGAGATGAAGTCGGCGACACTGACTCTTCATCTCCGCAGTAGTGATGCACCTATATGCATGTTTCATACGGATTACATAATCAGAGAATATTTGTTTTCCGTTTGAATTATTTCATTTGAAAGTAGACATTTCGCTTTCTATAGATATATTTTTAATGTCTGTAAGGCAAAGATATACACGGAGTTTCGCGCTCAAGTTCACAGAGACCGAGACGGCAGAAAGCGCATCCTGTTTGCTTTCATTATTTTACAAAAGCGCGTTTTGTTGTTATTGTGAGTGCACACAAATAAACGTAGAGTCTTTACAGATTTGAAAGATGTATTACTCTTATCTGTATGACCAAAACTTACAGAGTATTTTAAGATCAAATGAGCGCACCGGTGCCTCCATCTGTCCTGCAGTGAGCTACTGTTCAGCTTCCACACTCTAGGTTAACATTAGATTGAGCGGCCATTTAAAGTTGCCAATACTAACATATTACAGATGATAAGCTGTATTTGAGGTCGATGAATGATAGGCGAGCATTTGGATGTCCTGCCCGATGTACTGTATTACCATAGACTAGCCGTTAACGATCTGTCTGTCACGGACTGCGTGACTTTGCCAATGTGGTTAACGATTAGTTGACTATTAGGGGCAGCCCTAATCCAAACGCATAAGTTCCTTGTTCATGTGCAAAACATAAAGAATATTTTTAATGAAATCTGAGAGATTTCTGTCCTACATTTGAAAGTGCATTCACCCAAAACTTTGACACTTCAAAGAGTTCATAAAGACATTGTAAAAATAATCCATATGAATCGTTATATAAAAAAAAAAAATTCTGGCTCTCCCAAGCTTTATAATGGCAGTGAATGGGGGGTCGAGATTTTGAAGCCCAAAAAAGGGCATCCATCCATCATAAAAAGGGGGTTAATAAAGGCCTCCTGAAGCGAATCGATGCGTTTGTGTAAGAAAAATATCCATATTTAAAGGGGTCATCGGATGCCCATTTTCCACAAGTTGATATGATTCTTTAGGGTCTTAATGAAAAGTCTATAGCGTACTTCAGTTAAAATTTCTCAATGGTAGTGTAAAACAACATCCTTTTTACCTTGTCAAAAACAGCTCTTCACAGCGACCCGTTTCGGTGCATGTCCCTTTAAATGCTAATGAGCTCTGCTCACCCCGCCCCTCTCTTCCGTGGGGTGACAAGCCGTTCTCTGAGAGACAGTGAACTTTAGTTGTATTCATCGTGGAACTTGCTAACAAACATATTATTAGGAAAGGCAGTTTGCAAAGATTCATAAAAAATACCTTATACTCACTTCTTCTGTAGGTGAAGCTGGATCACGAATGATTCGCTCATAGACGCATTTAGGCAGATCGGGGGGCGCATTCCCTTCAAAATCAAAAGTAATACTCTGCGTTAGTGTTGTAACGGTATGAGATTTTCACGGTATGATAATCGTCATAAAAAAAATTTCACGGTATCACGTTATATATTAAACAATTCTTATCAGTAAAAATGACTCTTAAAAGAATTAGAAGATACAAATAAATTTCAAATAAGAACAAAAGTTATTTGAGTGAACAAATCCTTTATTATAACAAACAAACTTGAAACCATTTTAATGAAAGTATTGAAGTCTCCCTTCTGAAATTTTTTTTTTAATTAATTTAATTTGAAAAAACAATTAAAAAATAAAGCTATACACCGTATGTATATCTATATCACACTTTAACATTTTAATTAATGTTTTAAAATGTTATCAAATGAAAATTTTACAACTTATATTTTTGGCAAAGTTCTGCACAACAGGTATTCTAAGTGAAAACATGGAAAAACATGATATTCCTTAAAAAATAATGTTTAAATAAATTATTATAAAGAATATTATTATTGTTGTTATTATAACTTTGAAGTACATTGTACAATGCTAATATATTTGTCATAATTATTTCATAAGTTAATATTTCATATTTACATAAATATTTCAAGTTAAATCAAACTTTTATTTTGACGGGTTGTAGCGGACCTTTGAGTATTTGACTTTGACAATGGTTTTCTCAAATAAAACTAGGAAATGTTTATTTAAGTTTTCTCTCAGAGCAGCTCTGGTGATGTTCATGTTTATGTAGACGCTGAAAACACCATTAGCGTCATGCATACAGACACATATCATATCGACTTTTGATTTATTCATCCATCAGATTGTGCGTTTTACGTGACATCGTCATTATACTGTAAATTCCATGTTCACGACTGCACCAGGATTCCCTCTGCATCACGAAAATCATACTGCCTTCATTTATAACTTGTTATAAATGCAACACACCTTTATCTGCATGCAGGGATGATGTCCGCGAATATGAGCGAACATGTTGGATGTATTGCCTGCTTTTGCAGCCACTTTGCATTCACATTTTTTGCAAATTGGATCCGTCCTCAAGGACAACCCCACATTGTTGTTGTTGTTTTTATATCCTAAGTATTCCCAGACTGCAGATTTTAACCTTTTTTTTTTCGGTGGGGATGGAGATTAGATATAATCTGTCTCTGTCATTTTCTCCGCTGTACGTGCGTGTAAGCAGCCAAGTGAATGCAGAGTGAAGCAGCCGAGCGGAAATAAGTTGCGTATGCGCGGGTGAGATTTGTTTTTCATTCAATATTTTTTTAAACCGTAGATATGCAAATGTTTACGGTATGATAACCGTGCACGTTCAAACCGTGATAAACTGTAAAACCGGTATATCGTTACAACCCTACTCTGCATCTTCAGCGGCCGTCTTCAGATGTCGGGAGTAAATGACGACTGCTATGTTCATTATTACATCCAACAACAAAACACCTCAATTGCTTAGGAGACATTCTTGTCTACACCTGATCCGGCATCGAAACAATGGCAGACTGTTTACAGCTCACTCAGGGCGGGTCAAAGGTAAAACCCCAGTGTCAACCAACAATCGTGGGAGCGGCCTGGGTCTGTGTGACGTCACACAGCCAAGGATCTGTGAACAGCTTGATCTGACAAAGGGGTTATTATTTATGGGGATTTAAAAATAAAAAAAACACTGGGTGGATTTTTATCATTATAGGGTGGTTGTGTACACACACTGCCAAGACACATTTCAGTTCAAACAACATGTAAAAGTGAATTTTGCATCCGATGACCCCTTTAAAACTTTATAAACTGTAATCTCTAGCTTCGGCTAACTGGTGTACGCGCATTCACGAGAGAGTGGAGTTCCAGCGGATGATGTAGGCGTAGTGTAAACTCCGTTGAGAAGTGACGAATGCGGAAGCACAGAGGAGAGAGCAAAACGAAACACCGGTCATGAATTAGAAGTACAAAACAAGGATTTGTCAAGAAAGAATTTTAGAATATTTCGATATAAGTCCAGAGGAGACTTTTTGTGTGCTAATTTTGTACAAATTTTAGAGCAATTCAGTCTTTTTGACAAGGCAGTTTACATTTACATTTAATAGCGATTCAGATAACAATTTCAGTTGAAATTGTTATTCTTTCGTTTAGTTTAAACTGAACTTTTCAGCTCCATACTTTTTTAGCTCCTAAAAATTTTACTTTGACGCGTTCCAAAATAATATCCGTGTCTGTGCTCTCGTAACAGAAGGCAAATGAAGATTTGCTGAAGCGCTTGCAATTAATTCTTTCCTGATGTGTAATCGACAGCCAGTCGAGTCAGATGTGCTCATATGCACAGCATATGTGGCATCTGTGGTGCTCCGCTGCTTTTACTTAAAGGGGTCCTATTATGCTTTTTCACTTTTTCAACTTTAGTTAGTCTGTAATGTTGCTGTTTGAGCATAAAAAAGATCTGCAAAGTTACAAAGCTCAAAGTCCACTTCAAAAGGAGATATTTTATTTAACAGAAATCGCTTTTCAAAAACTACAACGAACGACTCGTTTGGACTACAACGCATATTTTACTACGACAAATGGGACGAGACCTGGTTGAGCTGCACTAGAGAAGGCAACGAGTGTTATCACTATGTCAGAGACACGCTAGCTTTCCCAAGGCAGACGAACTTAGAGTGGTTACAATCATCTGGGTTTAAATCACACTCAAATTGATTTGATTTTAATGCAATATTTACACTGAAGCTCGCAGTAAACTATGGTAAGGGGCATGACATTTCCCGACCAGGCACAGAGTGGTGCCAATCACAACACACACTGGCCCAGCTAACCAATCACAGCACGTTTCGTATTTCAGAACACACTGACCCAGCTAACCAATCACAGCACACACTGGCCCAGCTAACCAAACACAGCACACACTGGCCCAGCTAACCAAACACAGCACACACTGGCCCAGCTAACCAAACACAGCACACACTGGCCCAGCTAACCAATCACAACACACACCACACACTGGCCGGTGTTGTAATAATGTAAAATATGTGAAAAAATAATGTGTTTTTCATTGCAGAAAACACACTGGTTGGTACAAACCATGTTTATACTCTTTAGTGAACTTGTATTTGTTGTAGTCTGGGTTATATTTATTTTACCTTGCATAGTTTTGTTCATGGGGTTTGAGGATGAGAGCAAGTCTGTCCATGGTGACATCTGCCTAATTTAGTTGGCTTCTACCACATGACAGATGAGTTAGATCAATAATCTGACAATTTGATTTGCCTGTCTCCCAGGTAGCTTAGTGTCATCAAAAAAGGAAGAACTGATGTCCATTTTGGATCACTTTAACATCCAGGTATGGCTAAAGATCCTCTCAAATCTCTAAATGTATGCTAACAAAAATATTTAAAGGATCTGTTTTGATTTATCTGATTGTTTTTTCATCCTCAGGTGGACAATCCGTTTTCTATACAAACTCAGGAAATGAGTAAAGACTTCCTCCACTCCAAAGGAGAGGGCGACAGATATAAAGTGAGACTTTGTGTGTGTTTGTGCATTTGTTTCTCTCATAACAAATACGAACTTGAAATTTGCTTTGCTCTTTTTCTTTAGTTTTTCATGAAGGTCACTCAGCTTGATCAGATGAAAGAAGATTTGACCTACATCATGAAGACCAAGACCATGACCCAGAATACAGTGGAGAAGCACAGGGAGGTAAGTGCTGAAATAATCACATTTACATAGTGGTTTATGTAACTGAACTGAAATTATGTATTGTATGGAGCATCTGATTGAATTGCTAGACTAGATGCTCTTTAAGATGGCAGTATAGTTTTCTTTCACTCTCTGGTTTCTGGCACACCATTTCTTCTCACACAGACTCTACAAGAGCTGAAGAGAAAGTACCATGAGAAAGAAGAGCGCTATAAAAGTCTGGCTTCACTTGATGAAATGCAGAAGAAGTTGGATGAGCTGAAGAATCAGATGGCCTGGGCTCTGGTTAGGAATCACTGCCAGCATAACATGAACTGTGACTGCATGGCTCAAATCAAAATGAACACAACAATACTATCATTTCCTAATCAGATTTGATCACTTTCATATTATAATCGTATAATCTTTGCAATGGTATACTGTGGTTCTTATACTTTTAATGGCACATTTCTGTTGAGTGGCACGTAATGCACAGCCTGATTGACAAACGAATGGATTTTTTAATGATTCAGTCAGAATGACTCAGAATTCATTTGTTTTAATCAGTGTAACAACTCATTCACTGATTGAACCTGCCCCATGATTTATTTATGCTTCCCATCTCTAGAAGATCACATGCTTCAAATATCTCTCAACCGAAGATTGTGACCTAATACTGAAATGTATGTCCATGTACATCAGGTGGCAGAGGTGGAGCAGGAGATGAAGCCAATGAGAGAACAAATCACAGCTGAAGAGAGGTCCACTGTCAAATATGACCAGAAGGTGGAAGAGTGGGAGGTGACTGAATATTGTCTGGAGTTTCTGTGGTCCAGTTTCTTCTAGTGTTCATGAAGCCACACATTTGACTATAGGATAGTTTGGGCCAGATTTCAGCTTTTCCTGCCTAAGTAGGCGTTTTTGGCTAGAATGAGACCGATGTTTAAATTAGTCAAAATATTTTTTTTTTTCCACAGCTTAGGGGCAGGTTTAGCAGAAATACATTATTCCACAGTAGGGCTGTTAAAAAAAATTGAATTTCGAATATTCTTCGAATTTAAAATAAAAATCCACATTCTTAGGTGTGTGTCAGGCAGCCTTATCAGTGGCACACGGAACGCGATGACGATGTAAGTGTCGTTGCATTTTAATGTTTTTCATAGCTTATCCAGTTCAACCCACTAGATGCGGCGCTGCTACGTACACAAAACGTTAGATAAAGTAACAATGAGAAGGGAAGGCAAAAAAGTATGCAATGAGTATTGCTGTTAGTCGGTGGTCCTGTTGCACAACACCTGGCAGCCATGTTTGCGCTTGCTGAGGTTTCTCCTCCTAGCAGATGTGGGAGTTTGTTCTTGATGTAGACTGGCATGAAAAAAATTCAAGTAATGGCACAACAGTCAAACTCTTAAAACTCTAAAAATGATTTTCAAATAACCTACTACAAAGTGCTTAAAACAAAAGTTGAATAACTTTCAAAGAATTGATGCTGCTAACCAATCAATTTCTTTATCAGACATGCTCAAGAGTTGCTTAAAAACAGCCAATTGGATTGAAATGGCCAATTTTGCCTTGTTTTCATCTCATTTTTACAATAAGATTATTTGTCAACACATGACCAATTTATAATTGCAATGGCATGATTTTGGGTTTTCAGCTTTTTTACTGCATATTAACACTAGATGCACAATCGGGTTTGGCACACCAGGATTTCCTGCATATTCTTACTGCGTATTGATAACAATGAGAAATACTCAGAAATCCAAAGAAGAAAAACAGCTACAGTTATGCAGCTTATGGACATTAATGGGCTCATGGAAAGTGAAGATTATTAGGATTTTTTTTTTTTTTTTCATAATGGCATAGATTAGACCATTTGCAACAGTAGGCCATTTGCTAGGACATTGCAAACAAAAATTTGCTCTTGGCCACAGCAGATCATGACTTTAGCACCATTGATATTCTAACTCTCATACTGCCATCTTTCAGCAACCCTCAAAGCTTTTTGCTGTTATTACAGAGCTCTGTTGGGTTGTGCACAGCCAGCAGCCCTAGTTATTTTATTGAAGAAAATACTTAAAAAATCGAATTATGTTTGATTCACAGTAATGTGCAGTGTGTCTATTTTGGGTTTTGTTTGTTTGTAGGGGAAAGTTCAGGAGGCCAACAGGATATTGGGACAGTTGCAGGATCAGCTGGAGGGTGTGACGCAGCGGATGCAGCAGCTGCAGCCACAGTGTGTGGAACTGAAGAGTCGAGCCCAGGCGTGCAACCGAGATCTCAAAGCCGCCGAGGTGCACAATCACAACACCATAAAGGCCGTTTCACACTGAGCGCGATGCAAAAAAGTGAGGCGAATTGCCGACGAACGGTGCTTTCACATCGAGTGCAAAACGATTGATCGCCTTCTGCTAATTCACACCTGCATGCTAGGGGGCGCCGACCAACAATGCATTTTTCCTCAGATATGTATCTCATATATGGATTTAACATCCACTGCTCAATATACAGCATTAAATTAATATAGCTAAATAAAGTTTGATTTTACGCCAAAAACACAAACTATCTATAATGCTTACAAGAATACATCTTAAAATATAAATAGAAGTACAGTTAGCCACATTTGAAAATGTATGTAATTATTAGTGTATATGCTTAAAACCCACTTTAAACCATCATCGAGTGCTTGTAATAACTTCAGATTGTGATCTATAGTTGATTTTGATTCTATAATAGGCAGACATGCACTGTTTGTAGGCTATGTTTAATAACGCCACACTGCTTATTGTCATAAACATCCTTTATTGTTATAAAAATACAATTTGCTGTATACAAAACACGTACAGAAAATATATTGCCATAATCATATGTCTATTTGCTTTGATATTTCATGTGTTTCACTCGATTTTTTTAATACGGAATATCTAGAGAGTAAACGCTTTCTGACTCAATACTCGCGCACGTGGAAGAAAACGGACACTCCAGATCACATAATACAGTGGAGAATTAATATAAATTATATTAAGAACGTGAGAATAAATCTGTTTTCAGATACCAAAGATAACAAGAACTCGGCATCCATTCTCTTCTCTCTCTCGGAATACTCTTCTTCTGTGTTTGTTTACACTGGTTTTCGAAACAGCGCCACCACTCTTGCCTTTTTGTGCAACAGCAGCTGCTCCAAGCATGTGATCTAAGCTCAAATCTGATTGGACGGCCTGTGTTTTCGCTTTGCGAAACTGAAAAGATTTGTCGGACTGGTTCGGAAAAAAACATTCGCATTTTCGGTGTTCGAATGTTCGCGGTCTATGTGGAAGCATCCATAGGAATCTGTTGTTTTATTCCAGCGTGTCATCGTGTCCGATATTCGTTTCGCTTTTTCGCGCTCAGTGTGGAAAGGCCTTAAGAAGGGAAATGGGAAGCTTTGGGCCAGTTTTACTAACAGCTTGCGCCAGCGCAAACCGTCTTTCGGCGTTAAAATTTCACTGTCAGGTTTTACTAAAGACAGCAGTGATGAATTAGTGCTGAAAAGGCGTGGACACAGTTATTTTTGCGCTTGACCTTATTGAATATGTATTTGTAGGGGTTTCCCTTTCAGACGCAACATTTATGGGAGGAAAGTATTTAAATGAATCACGCAACGCGTTTTACTAACGTTTGCGCTCGTCAAATTACTGCCAGGGAAATGGGAAGCTTTGGGCCAGTTTTACTAACAGCTTGCGCCAGCGCAAACCGTCTTTCGGCGTTAAAATTTCACTGTCAGGTTTTACTAAAGACAGCAGTGATGAATTAGTGCTGAAAAGGCGTGGACACAGTTATTTTTGCGCTTGACCTTATTGAATATGTATTTGTAGGAGTTTCCCTTTCAGACGCAAAATTTATGGGAGGAGAGTACTATCGTTTGCCAAGCCATGTTATTTTTAATTTGCTTCAGGAAATAAAAGACGACTTGGAACCCTAGGAGTCATACAATACTAGGTCTATCAAAACTTCTTGCAATGCTTCATTTTTTGTCCTTCGGTTCTTTTCAGCATACTGTGGCTTCTTTATTTCTTTATTCTTTATTTGCAACTACGCTAATTTGTTCTGCACTTGGTATATTGTGTTGGTTGATATGTAAATGAGATGTTGCGTCTGTGTTCTTTAAAGGGTTAGTTCACCCAAAAATTAAATTCTGTCATTAATTACTCACCCTCATGTCGTTTCAAAC